TTTCCATTTATCACCACCCTATCATTACACCCTTGACAATACTTAACACCAAACTTGATACATCTACCAATCCCCCCACAAAAATGGCCCTGGTTCAGTGGTCAGGTTTACCACCAGAAGAAACTAGTTGGGAATCTTGGGATACTCTCTGTTCTGACTATCACCTTGAGGACAAGGTGTCTTTTCATGCACCAGGGGTTGTTAGCCCAACTGCAGAACCAAAACCCAACAGCATTATAAAAGATCCATTAATAACAACAGATGCAAACAGACCCAAGAGAACAAATTATAAATCTCTTCTCTCTCTAAATTCTAAGGAGGATTCCCTTGTCCTACTAAATCAAGGATCATACCCCCAACAGAAACTCTTCAACCAAGTCAACTTATCTAAGGAAGAAGATGAAGTTTGACAGCTCGAAATGATGGTTCTAGATGAGGTTTAATGCATACAGAAGTCTGCTTATTGTGTATAGATGAATAATCAATGGACAAATCTCTAAGAACTTGAGAGAAATATGGGATTCGAAAATTGGAAGTTTGAGAGAAAATGGAATTCTCAGATTTGTAAAGAGTGGCTCCTGAGAAAAATGGTTGGTATTGGCTTATGTTGTGGATTCTTTCTAGGGTTGGATGAAGGTTTGGACACAAGCAAAAGGTTTGGAAATGGACATTTTGGTCAGAAGTCGATTAAGGCTTCAAAATGCACAAAATGACAAGTTTGTTTATGGGTATAATGGGAAGGTTTGGATCATCTTTTAGGGTTGGATAATGTTGCTTTGGTGAGTTTAATTAGTTGTCAATGACAAAACTTCATGAGCAAGCTTTAATCACGATTTGGCCAATTCACATATTTCCAATTTTGGCAAATTCTGAAATCTTGCAGCCCAAGAGTGTTTGGTCAAATCAGGTAATGTTTTGGTGATTGTTTTGCACTAGATGCTAGGCTGGTTTGAGGTGATGAAGTGGGCCTGGTTATGGTGGAATGTATGGAAAAGTTTGGAAGGGAAATTGTCATGTGTTTTGGCATGATTTTGGACAATTCTGCAGTCTCACCATGGTGATTCCTCAACATCTTTTCTTCATGTCTAATGAACCAAATGCTTGCATATTGGTGTCAAATTAAAAAGGGCATGGCATAGTGTAAGTTTTATGTTGGAACCCTATTAAGAAAAGCCTTGGGTGATGAGATATCTTGCCTTCAAAAATGAACCTCAAAGCTTATTGACACTTAGAAAAAATTCTAAGTGTTTTGACAAATTTGACTAAATTGGATTCCTCACTTTGGCACGATTTTTGAACCACTTGTGAATTAAATTTGAACTCAAATTTTGTACCATATTGTAATTTCAAACATCCTCTATAATTTCAGCCCTTGTTTTGACAATTTTGGTGCACCAATGAATAAGAAACATGCTTGCAGAGTCACCTACATAAACATGAAACTTAACACTTAGAAAAATTTCTAATTTCCTTCATTTTGCATATTTTCCAAACATTATTGATTCTTGTGATTTTCCTTGATAAACATCAACCATTTTTCCATATTTTCTTGAAATTTGACTTGAGAAGTCCATGGTTGACCAAAAATCTCAAAAGTCAAACTTTGACTTTGAGCATTTTATTGACTTTTTGCAAATGAATCAATCCATTTCATCTATCATCTTGAATCAACTTGAATCATTTTGAGAAGGCCAATAATGTGTAAAAATACCCTTGAATCATGTCTCAAACCATAGAATCAAATGTTTGTCCAAAAGTCAACCTCAAGTTGACTTTGACTAAAACCCTAATCTTGAGCAATACTTGGAAAGTAAGTTTGATGACCTTAAACCAATGAACCAAAGATTGATGAAACCCTAGCCTCTTGAAATGATTCAAGAGAAAAGGATTGAGACAATGAGAACCATCAAAACCCTAGCTCAGAGTAAACCTCAGTATAAACCATAATGAAACCCTAACTTGATATTCTTAAAAACACTTGGAGAAGATAATGAAATTGTGACTTGAGAAGATGTTCATGATGATGAGAGCTCGTCTCTTGCCTCAACTTGAGTGTGATAGTCAGATGAATCACATTTGAAATGGGGAAAACCCAAATCACAAGAAATCCTTGATCCCGTGTCTTAGCAACACAATGATATGCATGATTGTGATTGTCATAACCTAATGGAAGATGCAAATGAATGTGAAACAAAATCCAGTTAGGGTTAGAACCTTGAGAGAAAATTTTGGAGTACAACAATAGTGTAAAAATATTTTACACTATCAGTGCATTTTCCTTTTTTTTCTCTAAAACAATTATACTTTTTTGAGAGACAATTTTATTTTACACCAATAATTTCATATCTATAAAATCGTTTTGATTATTTTATGTAAAAAATAAATTAAACACATTTGCGCAACGTGTGGGTCATATTCTAGTTAAATCTAAACTCCCACTCACACATGCAAGTTATGCTCGCGTCACACAACAAAGATTTCAGAAATTTTATCAAATTTGGTTTACACACACACAGTGCTAACAATTTTTTTAGGGAATTTCTTAATATATTCTTATAGGGGTGGAGTAAACTTATGAAAACCCCAAAATTCCCTTTAGAAATGTATATTCGAATGCACCCTAAATCAATTTTCAATGTGTTTCGGAAACCCATCTCCAAAAATCCTCTTGTTTACACGTTATTATTTAAACGTTGGATTTAAACATCCACTGGTATTTTCAGATATGCATATCTGAAAATATTGTTATTATTTCAGCTTGATGCATGATCACTCCTACCACTATTTAATTCTCTTCATTTCCCCTCATAACCAAAACCTACCACAAAACTTCAACCATTTTCAATCAACTTTTTGTCTTCAAATCAAGTTTCAATTGTTTTATCATATCAAATAGAGCATAGAAAGTTGCAATTTAAGGTAAATTTTCCTCATTTCATCTCTCATATCCTTGCATTGATGTTGAGTTTCAGATAAAAAAAACAGTGTCACTTCGGATATACATATCTGAAATCCATCTACTATATTTCGGATGTGCATATATGAAACTGTCTGTTACAGAAACAGAATTTTGTTTTAACAGATTTTTTGTTTTTGCCCGTTTTAGATATAGCGCACCCCGACATGTTTTCCAAAGATATTGTAAAGGTTTTGGACAAGGTGAATGATGATTCTAAGTCAGATAAGGTGAAAGACGATGTTAAAACGATTGATATCGAGATAGATGTTCAACAATTTACAAATGATCAAATTTTCAGTGCTCATCAACATATGCTTGAACGGGTCTGAATGGAAGCTAGCAAACTCAGGTTTGGCATTGTGATTGAAATGAACGATAATGGCACTAGTAGAAGGAAATGAAATGATCGTAGATGTGGGAGTGATGGTAATTGTGGGTTTCGGGTCGTGTCTGATTTACTTGGTAAAAGAGGGGAGAATCACACTCTTGTGTGGCAAACTTATTTCGGAGTTGACGGTGAATAGGAAACTTTACACACTATATGGGAAAAGGGAAGAATTCGATAAAATTCACAATGCTCTTGTTCCACATGTTAGCGGTCCCGTACCAATTACAAAGTGCATGTGCTTCCCTGAAATGAATCATCTTATAGCAAGTGCATATGACAGGGTGTGTATCGATATGACGAGATGTGTTTTTCGGAGACATTTTTTCCACTTCGGAGTCGCCCACCTCAAGACTCATTCGACTGCATCATTTATATTGGGTATCTTAGATCGCTCCATTTTATTCATGTTTATTTGAAACCGAAGTGTCCTATTCCGGCTACATTAGTGGAATGGACGACATATTCCACAAAAGAGGCGGAAATTTGGGCGGATCACTTTTTGGAAAGGATGGCGGAATTCACCAAATTAATGGAGCTTGAGAGAGAATCAAATAGGGAGAAGTAGGAAAAAGAACTGATTTTAGATTTAAGCGGTGACAATTCGTTCGATGTATTTTAGACTGTAATCGAAATATTTTTTGAATGTATTGTCGTACACAATGTAAATTATATATAATTTAATATATATAATATATCTATTCAACATTTTACCACTATTTATTTTTACCGATTTAATTTTTTTCATGTTTCTATGGTACTGATTCTACTAAAACAAAATATGTTATTGGTTCTGTATAATTCAAGATATGATTATCCGAAATAATCTTTATTTTAAAATAAATAAACAAAGAAACAGTGGTTATTTCGAACATGTCAGGAAGTTATCATTTAGCGGCTTCGAATATGCATCTCCAAACCTATTCGATAAAAAACTGAAATATAATGAGTTCAGATATGCATATCCTAATTAAAGAAATATTGAAATTTTGTCAAAGGCCTCTAAGAACCCCTAAGAGTGTATTAAGATATTCCTTTATTTTATGGACACGACAGAAGCCTTATTAACTACTCCCTTTGTCCTAAAATAAGTATCACATTTAGAAAAAAAAATTGTCCCAAAATACTTGTCACTTTAAATTACCAATACAATTTTATATTTAATCTTCCAATTGTAACCTCTAATAAATACTCTTAATTTATTATTTACTCACTTAACATTAATGTTAATTTGAATACACTAATAATTAATCACCATAATTTGATAAAGTTATTATTCTCTTTCTTTTATTTATTATTTTATTTATTATTGTTTCTTAATTTGTGTGAAATGATCAATTGTGACAAATAATATATAATATGGGACGGAAGGAGTATTTGGTATTGAAATATCATAACCCTTGCATCTGCATAATCATTAAAAACTTTAAATGGAACGCACATTTGTATATATTATCAGAATGTGAATAAAATGTGTTGTCGTGGACATCCATGTAGTATACTAGAACAACTGGGTTCAATATTATGTTACAACAAAAATTAACCCTCGTAAACAGACATTTAAGAGGCCAAAAAATATTTGATTGACTTGTAAATGAATTTACAATTAATATTCAAATTGCAATAGTAATAGTATAACACTCCTCAGATTGTCTTTTACTGAATTCTGCAGCCTTGTTCCTCAGCTTGAAGAAATATCAGGCCTCGCCTAATTCTCTAAAAGAAATGAAGGAAGAACTTGTTATTCTATACAAGCATCACACAGTTCAACTTTCTTTCTTACTAGCCTGAATTTAACAAAAATAACTTTCTAATGCTACTAAAATTCAACTTTCTAACAATGACTCATTACCTCTTTGGTATCTCTAATGCGTAGGAGTTCCAATCTTTCTGAAGGCCTCCGATTGGAGAGGGTAGCCAACTGTAATCATGATACAATTAGTACATAGCAATAAATACAGCAAATGCTGTTGTTTTTACCAACAAAGTAAAAACTTTAAATCACATGGAATAATCACCCAAAAACTAAAGCGCTCCGGGTCTCTTAATGAGGGTATCATTCCTTCAACATTCACGAATTTCTCTAATCTTCTTTGATCTGTAAATGATATATTCCTTTAGTTTAGTACTGCAGCAGTATTTTCATTTGTAAAGGTGAAAAAAGAAGAAAGGTTCAGTAAAATGGGATAAAACAAACTAAGTATAACTCAATAAAATGAGCAAAAAAATTTAGGTGAACAGTGATTACCATGTCTTGCTGCTTCTTTAGCTCTTCCTATCCATGATCGAGCACTTGCTGCTGCATTATCTATCAATTCCTGTAACTATCATAGTATACAAATAAGTCAATTGAGGAACTTCACTTTTGAGAAACTTAGCATTAGAAAAAAATAAAGCATTGAGGAACTTCACTTCTGTAGAACATTCGAACATCAAAAGTTTCAAGATTCCCTATTTCAAATTTTGGCTAGAGTAAAAAGCATTTCTTGCATATTTGTGCTAAGGAATAAATACCTACCTTTTGCAGCTAAACCCGAGTCTATCAAAACATTTTAATTCACAAGCAATACCCAAAAATGAAACTTAAACATTGCAGTCATTATATGATAGCATTCTTTGATTACCCAAGAATGAAACATAAACATTCCAGTCATTATATAATAGCATTCTTTGATTAGTACTACTGGTAAAGGATACTACCTGCCAATATCACATGATAGTAATACCTACCTCCATTTCTATTTATAAGCCCTTTTTATTATTTTCACATTTATATTCAAGAGTAGATAGTGTATTTAAGGTGTTCATTTTGTGCACAGGTGTTCCTAAAGTACTTTCTTTCCTATATATAAACCCCTTCATTTTAGTAGTGTTCTTTAGTTATCCCCCCCTTTTCTATAAAAATTAGAATGCTCTCCAAAAGTGGTTTACAAAGATATGTATGCCATAATTAAAATGAACTTACATCCTCTCTTTCATTTGTCCCTTCTGGGGGCATAATATCATGTATCCATTCAACTTCTGCAACACGATACCTGAATGAAACAGTAAGATGTAAAGGCAAAATTCCACACAATAAAACAAGAGGTTTTATTGAACATAACGTGCAGAGAGACAACTCACCCATCTTGATCCCAAGAACGAAGGTTGCGAAATCTCCTACGACCTTCAATCTGCATATAATCATTTTTTTAAGGAATAATCAAAATTTGTTACAAATTGAAATGTTACAAAAAAATGAAAGGAAAAAATGAAAGGAAAAAAGTCTATTTTGATAGAAATTTCTTAGGGGCTTTAAAAGTATCCTTGAACCATTAAAACCAATCCAACAATGATGAAAGTAAAATGAGATAAACCATGAACACTGACATTAAACTTGAACAACTCAACAATTGTCAAGAAATTCTTAAGACTGTCAGAAATATATATAACAACCAAAATTATTGTAGTTTCAATAAATTTCTTTTTGGATTCAATCAAATATCCTAAACCAAATGTGATTTTATTTTTTCAAACCATATGAGAACAATACTTATAATCAGCAACACACAAAATACAGATTCTTAGCTTTATAATGAAGATTTCTTTAGTTTTTAACAGACTCCATGTTCATATGGTAAATTTTATAGTCCAAGCCTTGTATACTTTGGCCATATCACCAAAGTTTTCAAAATTGCATTTTGACTTCCCATTAAAGAAAGAAGGAAAAAAGTGTCCCAAAAATTTAACTCTCAAACCTCATCAACACTAAGTATCATAAATAAGCAAAAAGAAGTCCACCATATAGACAAAGAAATCAGTTAATCTTTTACCTCTATATAAAATCGACCATCTGGAAGTGGCTCACACCTACAACATGGAATATAAGTTTTTTAAGCAAATGTCATGTGGAGAAAGGGGGATAAGTGTATGAGACTATTTTTTTCAGGTGATATAAAAGTCAAACACCTACTCTGTGATTTCCACTTCACAACCAAACTCTGCCAATGAACCTGTTGAAGAATCTATTATAACCTAGAAGATCAATAGACAAATCAAACACAGTAACAGATGGATATGGTCAATGCAATTATATAACTTAAGCAAAAAAGTGAAAGAAAAGGATGACCAAGATAACCTACCATTCCCATCCGATGATTGCCTTCCATTATTCTTCTTACCTGTTTTATTCCCAAGAGGAAAAAATATTCATTAAGAGATATGATAACATTCAGAGTTTCAGACCATTGGAATATAAATATGAACAGCTTTTATCGCTAAGTCAATGCACTTTTGACAAATTAAATTATTAAATAGATCAAACAATTTTCAAATTAGTTTTTGTTGACAGCCTTTATGAAAATTTCAAAACAATGTTCAAAGTTCATGCACAATCAATATTCACCAGTTCTCTCGATCCTCTCCAAAAGCTGCATGCTATAAATAAATGGTCTATTAGCTTAACCAGAGCCATTCGAGATCTTTTTACAGTATAGCCTGCATCAGGGTTCTCACTGATTGAAAAATTGATACTATTTTACTGCTCTCCCAACCCATTATTCATTTTTGAAAGATAAATCAAATTTACATGTTGCATATGACGATTCTGTCTTATTTAAAACATTATAAATACACATCATTTAAAATTTATGCTGTTTTCTTTATAATAGTTAGTATATACTTCTGTTATCTTTAACGAAGGAAATAAATATTCTTTGAATTTGGATAGCCTTACTCCTATAGAAGAGGATAAAAAAAACTCATACTACCGAAGAAAAAGAGAATATAAGGTAAAAGAAACTGTTAGAATAGGAACCAGTTTCGAAAAAGAAAAGAAGCAATAAGCGCAAACAATAGAACAGAGGATGTTTGGTAACGAAGTTTGGCCAACTCTGCCTACATCCCCGACTACGTGGCAGATTACAGTGTACAACTTGTAGAAGATTAGAGTTTATAGTGTACAACTTGTGCTTAAATACGACGGTCCAGATTACACTAACAAGGACACAAATGGTATGGTAGTTGGTCTTGGATCACACAATATACGTGTCAGTGTATGGAAGAGGGAAAGAAAGAAAGGTAAGAGATGAATCACAAAGCTATTCAATGAGATACTGAGGTCTAATAGCATTCTGAATAAATGAAGATGAAGCACATTAATACTTAACTGTAAGATGACATGCAAAATTACACAAATTATGTAGAGATTTAAACTCATGAGTCGTACTATGAAACTTTGGGAGGGTGACTGCACAGAGATTAAGACAAAGGGTAACATCACAAAAATAACAATTCGGATTTATATGGAGGAGAATGATCATGGTGTTAGGATATACAATTTCTTGGGTTCCTAACACAAGGAAACTATATACTTGCCAAGAAGATTGATAGAGATATGTTTGAGGGATCTAAAAGACCTACATCTGGTTTTTATTGATTTGGAAAAAGCATATGACAGAATGCCTAGAGAAGTGCTATAAAAGGTTTTAGAAAAGAAATGGATCAATTGAAAATACTTCAGCAGTAAAAGATATGTACAAGTACCATAAGGAAAACTAATCACCAACTTTCACATTCAAGAAATTCAAGATGTATTTTAAAATTAAAAAATTCTGGTGACCGTCAGAACACTGACTAACTCACCATAAGTCTATAACGAGGTTCAAATATATTTAGTGGAAACCTTTGACATGGTAAGACAACATCCATGACAAAAAGAGGGAGCATATCTACACCAATGTTGACTAAACTGTCATGTTCTTGTTTCCTTTCAGCATATTCCTCTGCAAAGTTTTTTTGTATGATGTTCTTCAATGTCACACTACCAAGGATTAATAGGAACATGAAACATGAATTAGAAAAAAGAAAGAAAAAAAAGTAACAATGAATCAAATATAATAGAACTTTTTATGTGATCATGGCGTCTGACTCTTAGATTAAACTGAATTGAGGTAGACAAATAGCATTTGCCTATAAGATATGTCCATTGTAGGTACTAAAGGGCTTCCTTCAATCAATTGAAGGATATTGAAAACATGCATTTTTTTTCTAGCAATTTTGGCATCGACAATGTCACAATAATGTAACTTGCCATTGTGTGTATTTAGCACACAATCTTTCAGCCTAATATAGTTTAAATGAGTGAATAATCATCCCACTATATAAACTATAACAAGAAACATAGAAATTAATTCAAAACTTTGATGTGGTTGTTTATCTATATTACATTTGTGACATCGTAAGGACAACTCACCTAACTGAACATGTTCTGGGGTTAAGAAGGAGAACTGTCCTGCACAATGGGCATCTGTTCCCTAACAAATGAGAACAATAATCAAACCTAACATAGAACATATGTTTTCCTATGGAAATATAAACAACGTTAACTATCACTAACCACGATCCATTGATTGAAATAAACATGAACGGCAAAAAGAATGACCACAGGGGGTTGTGACAGGTTCGTACAGCAACTTCAGGCAGAGAGTGCAATCAAAATCATCATTGCGATCGGGTTGTACATGAGAACTCCTCCCTGTTGAATTAGATGATACTCTTTCCACTATTTGAAGACACTCCCGAAGGGAATTACTACATGATATCAAATGCAATGAAACAGCGCTCAGAAATAGCACAGTAAATGACTATAGAAAAAGCTCTACATTCAGACATTCCACCTCTTTTTCCAAAAGGGGTAAAATAAAAATAAGCCAAGACTTGTAAATGCGCAATACCTAAAAGGATCAACTTGAAGTCCTGAAAGAATAACATCCCGAGCCACATCATATTTCTCTAACTGCCATTTAAATACAATGCCATATCAAGTTACAGTTTCTAAAACAAAAATATCATGGGCTACCCCATAAACTAATATAGAGATCAGCTGAGAAAAAGAGATGAGTATCTTACTAGAATAAGAGCATTGGCCTTCAAAAGGTATGCTTTTACTGAATTACGCTGGAGGTCAATAAGCCTTGCAGCGTCCTTCAAACCCAGCTGAATTGGATGTCAAGAATCAACTTAGTATGTGCATATCAATTTAGAAATATAATAGTATTTCAGCATAATAAAAATGATCTAATAGAACATACTTCGGCAAGTGTTGTGGGATCAAGCCCACTCAATGGCCTTTGTTCTGAGAATGATGATGATCTATGCATTAAATATTGGCTAATCCTGATTGGAAAATATTGTCATTGCCATGAGAACAAAAAATTTAACAGATCTGAACCAAAACTATTAGGAACAGGATTAAAAGAACAGTTTGTAATAACTAATTTAAAAGAAAAATATTCAATATGCCTAACCTAATATAAGCCACACTTCGATTGCTGAGGATGATTGGATCACTAGATTTGATGTTATAGGCTCTTGAGTAAAAGCTGATTGCCTAAATAAATAATCACAAAAACCAACATTGAAAAGACAAAGTATAAGAATCAAATTTCCCTGTAAATGAAACAATCCCTCAATATCTCTGTAAAATTCTGCTAAGTGAACAGACTGAAGTATGACATATTGCTAAACAAATAAAACATAATGTTTCAGAAGCAAAGCATGCATTGGATTGGAGCAGCAACTCAATTGTTTCTCAAGATAATAGACTATAACTGTATTGCTTATGGCCAACACCAATTCATTTAGCATTTTAGCTTCCATCAATCGAACCATGAAAAGACAAGTGAAACAAACTCTAAAAAATTTAACAATTATAACAAAAAGCACTGCAATCATTTATAACTATAGTTAAAAATAAAACTCAAATTTTATCTAAAAAACACATTCTATATGATACTGGATTGCAACAGCATGATTTACTTTGTAAACATGACAACTACAAAAATGATATACATAACAGGGCAGTACAATTATGTAAATAATAAAGACCTGTCTTTTGAATAGAATGACTAAATAAAGGCATGGATGAAGGAATAAGCTAATAAAATTCCACTACACTTGGCTGCATCAAGAACAAAACAGTTCTTGCACAAGATCTTTTTTCCCAAATTCTTAACATCTAGCTACAATAAATCAATATAATTCCCATTTCTATTTTATAAATAATGAATCTTAATCTTACAAGAAAAACTAGTATAATGAAAAGAATAATTCTACATCCTCACAATCTGTTCTTTTATGTTTCCATAGCACTAAATGCATGTACTTTTTCATTATTAAGTATGATTACTCTACAGATGAATACTTACATTTTAATCATAGACTATAAGTACTAGATTGATAATGTAGATGTATTGTTACTCTAATGTAAAACCCAATATTATACATTTTATGTACAGAAAAAAGAATAAAATATGTTGCAAGCAATAATCATATATAAATGGACTGTACTCAGAAGAAGAAAAATTAACAGAATAGCCAAAAATAAAGCACACTATTTCATCACCTCTTCCATTCTCTTCTCTCGAAAGGCCAGATTTCCCTTTTGTACAAGCTCGTAAACATAATGAAATGCGTCCCATTCCAATCCTTCTGGTCCATTTGCCTGCAACCAAACCGAATCTCAGTGTTCATGTTTCTACGTTAGATTCTCAATGAAAATATTGATTTGTTTTATAGCTTTTCACTATTCCTTTTGAATGTTTCAAACATAATGGGACTGGATGAATAAATTATATCATCTGTATTGCTCAATACTCTCAATTCAGGACTCGAACAAACAAAAAGAGAAAGAAGAACCCTTCATTATCCACATTGTGTTACTGCGATAGTTTTTGTAAGAAAAGTAGCCACGCTGAGGACTGTGAGGAACCAATGTTATTTAATTACAAGTTTAAGTCTGTTTTATTGAGTGAACATATGACAGAGGTGGCTCTGAATGAACTCAACTTTGTAAAGTTTATCTGGTTTTAAAGTTAAGTTTCTTTGCAGAAAAGTGACTTATGTTTGGATGTTTTTAGTCTAAAAGCAAATTTTATGTAAAACTTAATAATTTTGGTCATTATTGCGCAAAAAGTATAGGCGTTTACCACATCTAGTTACTCAAGGTTTGTAAGTGAAATCAACTTGGATTTAAAGTAACAAAACATTAGATTTTTATACAAAAATCATGTATCATGTCGGACGGAGGAAACATAAATTCTGACACTCTCCATAGTGAGTCAGTCAGCACAGACACTAAGCCTTTTACAATGGCAACAAGAAACCTACATTCTTTTTCAAACTAACAGTAGAGCATACCTGAAAAGCCACAGCTCATGATACAGAAAAACAACACACAAATAAACAATAACTAGAAAAAGAAAACATTGAATCACATTTAGACTGTCACTTTCTCTCCTTGGATTTCACACCTAATAATCGGAAGTCAAAGGTAAAGGAAGGTAACAAGAGGACTTGTCTTTTCCCATATTCATATTCATCTGCAAAACCAGAAAAACAAAGAGAGAAACAAAAGGCAGACACAAGAAACAACTTTGAATGAAAAAGCTGTGCACAGCTGCATAGTAAGAAACCCAACAAAAAGGTCTAATGAAACCCAACAAAAAACAGCAAAAACTGAATGGTGAAAAAAAAAAAAAAACTTGATTAGATTAATTTAGTTTTTCTAATGACCATATCTTCTAAAACATGTGAGTGTTGTTATCCATTGACTAAAATTGATTCTGAATATATTAATTTTATAACATTAATTTTTATAAATTGATTTATATTTGAATTCATTCCCAATCAATAAATATAAATTGTATAGGCAAAAGCAAGGTTTTAAAAAACGGTAAGATACCGCGAAAACGGCAACGGCAAATTGGTATCAGAATGTGTCTATACTTAAACTATTATTCACCGATTTTATGACAAAGATTAAATTAGGTTAATTCACACCGCAACAACCGCAATCAGCGTTGCAACACTCGGACCGACTGAAATGGTGAAAGCCTTTACGCGGCTCTTACTTAAAACCTTGGGCAAAAGTACCAATTCCCTGGGAAAAAGAAATAATACTACCCTGAAACATGGCTCAAACGTGTGAAAATCAGTTCTATACTGCTAGAATCACTTATATCCCTCTCAAAATTTATTCTAAACATATATTTGAACAAGCAAAAAAAAAAATCCAAATCAAGGTTTTAGAAAAATGTCCACAACAGTGATTAGGGAGGCAAAGGCTTCCACAACTGCATCAGAATATCACCGGAATTCGAATACAATCATTCAAAAATATTAACAATCGCAAACAGAATCACAAACAGGGATTCAAACAAGTTAAACAGTAGCACGCGAAGATTCAAGCAAGAAAATGAATATGTATAGGTGCAGTTTTTTGTGCTACATTTCTCAGCAACGAAACAATTCAAAAAATGGAGAAGGGAAGAGAAAGAGAAGAAGAGAACTGACCAGAACATAGTCGTCGACGTCGGGAAGGGAATCGGAAGAGGTTGGAGTGGCCATTGAGGGTAGAATGGGAAATAATAAAAGTATGAAGAGAGAGTGTGTGAAATTGTTGAAGATTAAGATGAAGAGATTGAAGTTGAAGAGAAGAAGGTTGTAAGGGGCATCGTGTTCGCCCCTTGCTCGTTCATTGCATACACGGACCAAATTCCATTACGTTTTTGTTTCTAGAAACTTGTAATCACTCTCTCTCTATGTCTTCGCCCAATGAGAGAGCTTTAAATAGTGAACCGAATTGACTTAACAAATTAATGAATCCATTAAAATAAAATGTTTTAGTTTAAAGATTGTCTAATGACCAAATTTAATCTAACAATTTGGTGGTGGGTCAACTTAGTTTTTGGAATAAAAATAAATAAATTAGTCTAATATTTTCATACAAGATTAATAATAAATTATTCTTGTTCTTAGAACCAAGAGATCAAAACATCCATGAATGTTTGATGAAGGTTTTAAAGGTGACGGAAGTAATGCATATTTAAAGATTGAATTGTTCTTTAGATTTTATAGTAAGAGTTTAGAGGTCATCGAAACTTCTGTCATATAAATGTATCGTCGAGTGAGAATATAGAGTAGGAAAATAGTTTGAAGAAAAAGTAGATAGACAAAACAAAAATGCTAATTAATTTTTCAAAAATGGAATATAGAGGTTTTTCAAAGTTGCGCACGAAAGATTTTAAATGAAAATATGTGAATCATATTTTTATTGAAATTTGATCACTTTAACATGTAAGCACTTCACAAATATCAAAGATGGTTTTATGATGATACACAAATGTAATCAATTGATTCAGTTGTATATTTCACAAGATGTGTTTATACAACGATTCAATTTCAACAAATTTTAACCTCAATAGTTTCTTAGAAAATTTAATCACCCCTAAAGTTCGACTAGGCACCAATTCTAACAAAATCTAACCTTACATAATAAATCGTTATCAATTGAATATTTGATAAACTACACTAAGAATTGAAAACATAAGCGTGTAATATCCTACGAAAAGTAAATGCAAGAGTAAGAGGGATAGAGAATACATCGGAATTTATAGTACTTCAGCTTTCGCCCTCGCTTTGTCTATTGCACTCTTCAGTGGTTTCTGATTGGAACCCGCTTTGTTCCTTTTTATTTTGACAAATATTATAATAGTTCATACAATCACTAATCTACAATAGTCTTGAGAAAAATAAATCTCCTATCTGAATCTTAACTTGTATATAGTGTAATGTCAAACTCTTATGCATAATCTTTACTTGATTCATGCTTCTTGAATCTTCCAACTTCGCTAATATGCTCCAAGGCTTTGTGTGTAGCAATCACCTTTTGATCCTACTGATTCCTTGAGCGATGAACTGTCTCAATATTTGAGAAGAACTTCACCTTGTATGTGGCCTTCCACACAGTCACTACCAAGGTAATATGGAGAGAATACCTCCTTATTTTCCTGGAATTTG